GGATGGAGTGGAGGGAGTCCTCAGCGGGCTCTTTAGCGAGATGCACCCCCTACAGGACCGATTAGTCTAACGTGATTACAGACACTAACTCACTCCTGCCTCTTATACCATTCTATTCGATTTTCTTCGGACACCTCCCCAATATCGCTTGGAACACCGTGAGCCATGGGTATTCCACGTGCCCCCCCTTAACTCATAATGACTCGCTGGGATGCGTGACCGCCGCTACAGAGGGATCGTACCGCCTTGAGGTTTAACGGTGCGAACGTGGTCCATATTGAGACGATATAATAATACCGCGGGGATGTGTGCTCCAATTAAGGAGGACGGTTTTTTTGTGATGGGTGTAATGCATGATTTTTTTTTCAAGATTTTTGGATTTGGAGATAATTTTGACGGTTGGAAATACGTCGGTGTCATTTCGGGCCATTTGTCGCGTTGAAATCAAAGAATGTGGCGAATTGACTCGGATTTGACCTGCTAGTTCTATCTCATTCTCAGGAAATAGTCCTCCCTCTGATGCGGAGACGCCACCGCAAGGTGGCGCAGTAGCTAAACAAAACCACTAAACACGTTCCATCACTCTCCGTCGAGAAATGAATGAATAAATAAATATACGGAAGAATTCAAAATTATCATAAGGAATATTCTCAAGTTTTCTGTGGATTTGAAAACAACACCTTGAAAATATTTTTCCAAACGTCCAAGTCACTAAACGTGATAAATAATCGTATTTGAATAGACGATTATGCGTATCTCCAGAAAAACAAATTCAGTTGAAGATCATCAGATGTTGAATAAATGAATCATGTGAACTAGTATTTCTATCTCACTCTCAGGAAATCGTCCGCGGTTCTGGTGCAGAGACGCCACCGCCAGGTGGCGCAGTAGCCAAACAACCACGCAATACACCCCATCATTCTCTTTCTCTCAGTGAATGAATGAATAAATAGACACATGAAAGGATTCAAACCTATTATAAATAAAAATGTTGCTCCCATATTAATTTGTTTCTATTTACAACATTTTTTAAATGTCTGATAGACTTAAATAAAATTATCCCTTTAGTAAGACTTGAATTCAATGAAATTTTCCGGCTCGCTCCCGATGACATCCTCCACAGCGCAACATTAAGATCGGAGAATTGACAGGATGAGTGATTTTAATATAACCAGTTCAGTGAATCACTGTTGACATTACCTGTCGAGTGATATTGAATGGCAAATGGCTCTCCACCGGATCGTTTAGTCCATCAAATTTATTACGCACTGCGTAACGGTTCAGCATAAATGGTCCATTCCACGTGAATTATTAGTGACTCAGGATCCATCAGTCGATCCGTTAAATCGTTCCGGCGATTGGTGCTTGTTTGCTGATAGCTATACCCATGTGGAATGCGTATTATTTTTGATGGAAAGTGTGAACGACTCTCCCTGTTTTGAAGCCGCGAAAACTTTATTGAGAATCGAAAAAAAAACGAACAAACTTTCGAAATAAATGCAATAAACTGAAACTCTAATTTTATGTTATGGTACTTCTTTCAATATTCTTAGATTACAAATTAACTAAATTCATTAATAACAATTTATAATTAATTTAAAATTAATAATAAATAATTGATTAATAATAATTGATGTATAAAAAATTGAATTAATTACAATTTATAACTGATTGAATTAATTTTTGTGTTATGTAATTCCTTTATAAATTAAGAAAATTAAAAAAAATTACCGTACCCTAAAATTGATTGATTTTTATTCCCAGAATGTCCGAGAAAACTATTCTGACAGTCAGAACTCTCCGAAAAATTCCCATAGGACGTGACCATTGGACTTGATTGATGAAGGGTTCTATAAATATTGATGTCTATTTCACGGCCGAGGCGTCTGCGTTTTCAATACTCCTTATTTCATCAATTTCCATCATTCCCTCTTTGATTTCACAGCTTTCCCGACACCTAACCCGGTTATTTAGATGTATGCACAGGAATTGAATCAATTCAAGTCCTCCAATATATCATTTTAGATGAAATATCTCATCGATATTTCATTCAATTTGGAATTTACGTAATTCTGATGTTGTTTTGACGGAAAAATAGTGTTGAATGGCAATATTAAAATTTTTCCATGAATTTTCTGATGAGTCGAGATATTTGGAGGACAAAAGTGACTCAGATGTTGATCTTAACCACGAAAAAATAACCTTTTCATTGAGTAATTCAGGAAATACCGTCTCTCCCCCATGAATTCGAAAGTTTTCGATCATGCGTATAATTTCGATCTTTTTCAAAATTCATTATTTGTCCATTATTATCTCATTTTTCAAATTTAGCTGAAGCATTCAAGCATGCAGTAACAATGTTATCGATGATGGATCTTGATGATCGGCGTATCCCCGAGTCAGGTTATTCCCAATGAATTTTATGGTTGCTGCGTGGTGGAAGGCGCATGGGCGGGTCAAATCCTTCACGATTATTATTATTCTTTTTATTTCAAACCTCAAATTAATACCGTGATTTTTATACATTAGAGCGACCTGTCATTATCTACATTTTTATTCACGCTAATTAAAACCGCGCAGAATAGATTTTCCCCTAGAATTTTAGCGCTTTTTAAATTTCAAGAATTTCTAATTAATTCCTCCCGGATTTAATCAATTCAAAATGTCGTAGAATTCATGTTATTTGTATCAATCACTCCATCCCCACAATCAAAATTAATTTGAACTCCTCAGGCGCGAAAAAAAGAGAATTTGATCTGAATGTCGCGAGAGTTTTACGGTTCACCGAATAAAAACTCTTCCCACTTCACCTCCTAATGTCCACTCAACATAAAAAAATCATTTCCTCTTTAATGATCCACTCGACTGCCCGAACCAGTTAAAATCGGAATATCAAAATATTGTTTATGATCGTCAGCCTTAAAACATTGTGAAACTACTGGGTATCAGATTTAATTATACATCTGCGATGATAATTAGTTGAGTTAATTTTAATTCAATGTCGAGATTCGGAATTGTCTCATTTTGTTTTATCCAATTTATCCAAGATTCAATTAATTAGAAATTTCGTAGAATTCATGTTACTTGTACTAATCACTCCATCCCCACAATCAAAATTAATTTGAACTCAGACGTAACAAAATGAGAATTTCATCCCAATGTCGCGACAATTTTACGGTTCACCGAATAAAAACTCTTCCCGCTTCACCTCCTAATGTCCACTCAGGGTTTAAAAAAAATCATTTCCTCTTTAATGATCCACTCGGCTGCCCGAACCAGTTACAATCGGAATATCAAAATATTGTTTATGATCGTACACTTTGTGGGAAACTCCCCGTTTCAAAGTTGTCGCTCTTGGCAGCTGAATTTCAGCGACCAAATTCTCTCGGTTTTTGTCGTCTCTCGCTCGTCGGGCCCCCGGCCATCTTTATTGCTTCAATTTGCATAACACAATATTGCTGAGACCGCGAATGCGTCTTATGAACGCGGTCTGCACCTACGCCTCCCTCCGAGGGTTCGCACGGCCAGAGTCACACGCTTCTTCGTCTTCTTCCCAGCTCTCTTGCCCTCTCTGTTTTATTTTTCAGTTCTTTTGTCCATCCGTGTTGCATCTTTTCTCCTCAACAATTTACTCTTCTACTCACTCTTACTCTTGTGCAATCCAAGGGCACAATTCACGAAACGTCACGTTTGAAAATATTTTTTACGCAACTGAGTCGGAAAAAATGAAAATTTATAGATCCATTTTGCCCCATCCTTTGAAAAAAAGCGTGTGAGTTTGACAATTCGAGAGTGATGGCCTATCGAATTGATGTTGAAATTCCTTTGGATATCATCAACAAGATATTCATCCAAACAAAGATCTCGTAACCTCCAACTTGCCTGGTTATTTGAAAATGTTTAATGCATGCGGCCATTGAGATCGTAGTCGCAACGTATATGGGTTTTTCTCCCATAGTGTTTGCACGACTTGTACTTGCAGGACTCACAGTTTGGTATAACCAAAGAGGATCGCAACCCAAGTACTCGGTAAACACTCGGTGTACGACTGTTTCTCAATCGACACTTGACGCCTCGCGTTTACGATCATAACGGAGTACTTCAGCTCTTATTTAATACATCTAGCCTATCGAGCTAACTTTCTTGGCGTGGATCAATTCAACGGGACAGGATGGAAACAATGGGGGGAAAACGTTTGATATGGTTGGATGGGGCACTTCGTGGAAGGTAAATAAATCTTTCTTTGGAAATTGTTTCGTTATGTGTGTCAATTAGGTTGTCCTAGATACTGAGGATTCTGAAGAATATTCCGGTGAGCAACATGAAGAGAAAAGTTTCTAGTTTTCGGGGTGATAGACTATCGAGGGTCTCACGTTGGGAAAAATGTCTTGAATTTGGTGACTTGTATTTCAAGATTTTATGAGTTTTGTTTTTAGTAAAAAAAATTTCTTAATGTCACACTATTTATGAAACGAGTGGAAACTCCTGTACTCTTCGATGAAGAGATCGCCAGGGTGGTCCCAGATATTATGGAAATCCCTCCCTCCATCCAAACCTGTCGTCATTTCACACCCGGAGGGAGGAATCAACGGCGCTAGAAAGTCCAAAAAACCATACCTCGCATTATTAATTTACCACCCACAACTCCCGTCAAGAATTGTTTCTCCTCCTGTCCCATCACCACGTAAAATACCCAGCGGATTAATTCCTAATTCCCGTTTGTGATGTTAAAGAATCTTCTGGGGACCCTCAGTGGGTAATGTCAAAATATTTGAGATAGGTTTTAAGAAAGCCCGAAGCAACACCACCACCACCGGCTCTGGGATATTCGCCAGAAAAAACGCGTGCCACGGGTTCCACCTCGTTAGCCTGGCAAAGGCCTCTAAAACAGCGCGTGGCACCCCGTAGCGATGAATAATACGGAGAAAAGGAGGCATGGAAATGAACGCTTAAAAACGATTGAGGAAGAGTATTTTTGTTTCTTAAATATTTATTTTTTGGTCTGATTTTTTCTCCCTTTTACTTTCTTCAGCCATGAAACACACCAGCGCCACTTTTCACCTCATTATCTCCAGCGATCGCATATACGAATAAGGCTATTTCGTTACGCCTCGTACGGTAGATGTATGGCCAATGTTGTGGACTACACAGCGAGGTACGGGCTCGGTGAACATGCGAAAACCTATGTTGACTGTCTCAAACTGAATATAAAGACATCGGCATTGGTGTCAGGCGCCAAAAACGCCCACGCATCACCTCGGGTTATCCTTTTCGCGTGAGAAAACTGTTTTCGGACGAAATGTTATTTATTGAGTTGGAAAAATCGGGGGTGAGAAGGCATTGAGTATTGAATGATGGTTTTCCTGGAGTTGACAGAAAATAATTTCCTCAAATGAGACATTTCTCTTTGAAATTTAGAACAGAATAAAGCCTCTTGTTTGGGAAGTTGCGAGTGGTGACATTGAGAGGTTTTAGATTGTCGTGAGGTTAGGTTTACCCCATCGATGACTCATCGTTGCGATAATAATCCGGTTCAGTACGAGAGGATCCCCAGATTCGGACATTGATTCACGCACTTGGTCGAGCACTGGTCATGCGTGTGTCCTTTTTGGTCGAAGGAGGCGACGATATTTCTAGGAGTCTTGTGAATCGAAAGCCTCAAAATAATGTGAAACTACTAGGTGCCAGATTTATTTATAAATCTACGATGATCATTGCTTGAATTCATGGTAATTCAGTGTCGAGATTCGTAATTGTCTCAGTTTGTTTTATCAAATGCTGTTTTATTTTTCTACTACATCAAGAAAAATATTATCATCTAAAAATTGTTTCCTCCGTTGATACACCACGAATGAATAAAATGACCCGTTGTGGAATAAACCGCCCACATGTAGCCCGTCATCTCAAGAATTTCCAACTTTTCTTGCTGATGAATGGGGTACCAAAGCCGAGGAGGAACCTGAGCCCCTGTGACTTGGAGACACATGTTTATGTTTCAATTAACATTTCATTTCGCATTGCAAGGGTGCAACCTGCTGGCTACATGGCTACTAACGAGCTACTATCGTTGATCATCATAGTTGAATAAAGGTGATCTGTACGGATTCTTCATGGGAAAGTGCTGGTACAATACCGAGGAGCAGCATAATTTGACGTTGGAAGTCGGGATAAATCGTTTGGATTTATCAGTTGAATGGCTGAGACCACGGGGAATTGAGTAAACAGGGAAGAAGGTGAGGCACTATCTCAGATATGCAGAATTAAACCCCGGGTTTGAGGATACCAACGGCTGTTACATGGCGCCTACCTTCTTTTAGTCATCTTATCGGTTTTGATACAGAATCCAGTTAATTATATGCCTGCCAAGTTTTATGGTTCGTTTTTTTAATTATCTCAATCTCACCATCTTAAATGGAATACGGATGCCGAATATGTGGCATTCATGGCGACACGAATTGCCCGATATAAACGCAAGTTAAAATACCTTTCGAGATTTATTTTGAGGAGGAAGATGGGAGAATCGTGAACGCTCAATTTTGGTAGTGTCACTCAGAAAGAGACAATTGCCATCACAAATTGGAAATTACTGATGCATCGAACTGAAATATGGGTACTAAAATTTTCACGACTACACAGCTACCGTTTGCCACTCAAAAAAAAAAACAATTCAAAGTCAACTGCACATACAAATGGCAAACACATTCGGTAAATCATCGGACGTTTATTGCAGTTAATTAGCTGGCTGGAGCCTCAGCATCCTCAACGGTCCTCATTCTGCATGCTTCGAGTACCTCGAGCCTATGGGCGTGGAATCATTGCGTGAGAACTTTTTTGGCTGCATGATGAGGAGAGGATCCCTGATATGGCGCCATGCAATCGTTAACTCAGATAATCAAATGTTTGACGCTAGTACCACAGATGTCCGTTGAATTTTCACCTTCTCTTTATTCGAAAGCCAACCAAAAGGAATGAAATAAATGACTGAAATTGATCGGATAAGGTTCTCAGTTGGGTTTAACGCCCACACGGGGGCACACGCCAAAGAAGATCACAGCCAACACATGAGGTTCAGCCCTATGGGCACCTTTCCATCCTTCTATATTCAAAAACCCCGAGTGTGTGTGCTACCTCGGCAGTTGGCGCTACTGATCTCCTCAAGGCGATACGTATCTCGTGCACGCACGAATTCGTGTGGCCACAGGATGAATAAGAAAATGGGTGGGAGAGGAGGAAGAAATCCCTTGAGAGAGGACTCGACGACTCGACTTCGTGTCGCCTCGTTTATCTCGATTATATGACACTCTTCCCTGCCGTTGCATTTTCGGAGATAAATTTTTATTTGGGGGGGGGGGATCTCTTTTGCTTGGGATATCTTCTTTGGGACTTTGAACTTACTTTAGCACACAGGATTCGGGGGGCACCTGTTGACCCGGGACCATGATTTTCAAGTAGCCTACGTCCTTCGCTGTGAACTCCTGGGAAAATAGAGAAATTTATTACATTAATTTCACTTCAGCAACGAGAATCAATTAGAGATTCAGTACAACATATAAATTTGTGGATAAAAATGAAAAATGAAGTGGACTGAAGTGACGCATCACAAGTAGATAAGATAACTCTCGTGTACAGACCGAGGTATCTCACGATGTTCAACACGATGCGACCTGAAGTCACAGGTGAGGTCCTCAACCTTCTTCATTCCGGTCTGTTATAAAACTAAACAAGAAAAAACACCGAATCCTATGATTGATATTTCCCGAGTTAATAACGCTTTCACCTTATTAGGGCTTCGATTGAGATAGCTGAGACTCGTATGAGAGAGAGGGCCATCACAGTTTATTGGTGGATAGATCTATCATGATGCACGGGAGAAGACTTTATTAGGATCGAGATAGTGTCTAACGTTATACGTGAAATACCAGAGGATTCTGATTGTGATCTTGTGGTGGGCCTTTTGTTTCGGGGAATGAGACTCTTCGGGCTGTCTTCTGCCTATGAGAGTCATCTTACTCCGATCGTACAAAAAATCTTTCATCGCGGTGGTTGAACCTTAGATCAGTCAGTCTCAGTCAGTCTTCATTAAGGATTATTAGGAGCAACTAATTGAGTAATTGAGAAGGTTCCACGCGATGAAAGGACTTCGTTTCAGTTGGAGAACTAATTAACAAAACAATTAATTTGAACAAAGGTTGTAACTTACATTCTTGTCGTAGTATCTCATGGTGTTGGTCAAATCGATGACGAACTTGAGCTTCGGAAATGCCTCCAACAGTAACGGAATTGTGAATCTGTAATAATGGATTGTAAACTTCAGTGGTATTACATGGTGAAATACAACAACGAATCGAGTGCCTCGTAAATGTATTATTCATATCGTAAAATGAAAAGTGACACGGGTTTCAATGCTATAAAATGAATTGTTGAGACGGTGAGAGATTTTAGGAATCGTTTGAAAAATTGGGAATGTCAATGTGAAGCGTTCGATATTCTTTATGACAAGTTGAGAATTTGAATTTGAATTCTTTAGCTTTCGTCTGAATGCAACTGTTAGCCAGCTCATCTGGGGATTCATTTGATGATAAAAGAGTTTCAATAATGGATAAAGGAGTCATAAAAAATTATCAGTCATCCAATAGAATACTTACTCTTTCGTTGGCGGTGTCTTTATCGTCTGCAACAGAAAGAGAGAGAATATCAGTCAAACCAGAAGATCAAGCTCGTAATGATAAATAATAAACGCGGAATTCAACTTTCAGTGATGCAAATAAACATGTAATCCGCGACTGGGAGGGGATCGAGGGTCGTGCTGCTGTCGAATCATCGTGTCATGAAACGCAGAGTCATCGTCTACTTGTGATAATTAATAGTGTGGTGAGTGGATAACCAGGCACAAGCCCTGTCTGGCCCCACAGGAACGTGATCACGGCGGCGAGTGATCGATTAGGCTTAACCCCTTTGGTATATCCAATAACAAGACGTGACGAAGGCTGACGATAACAGGAGAGACCAAAGTCACACTTTTGATGATTGCCTTTATCTCCCGAGCTAATATCGCTAAACTTATTTATTCAGCCTAACGTATTGCCTCTAAAGGACGAATGGCTTGGACCAAGAATTCCGGAGAAGACCCGAATTTCGTAAAGTATTGATGAGTTGGACATGAACATTTCACGATGAAGTGAGAATTTTTCGCTCGATTACTTGACTCGTTTGGTAATTTTTCACCAACTTTTGTCTCCGCATATGCCCACCAATTCATTAACTAATTCGCAAGAAGAATGATGGGCTATGAGTGTTATCCCTCAGCGGATCTATGCAGCATATTAGAAGAAGACTCCCAAAGGAGGGGTGGATTTGGGTGTATACCCAGCGTACGGTTAAATTGAAAATCTCGTTTCTATAAGGAAGAATATTTTGCGCCCCGGCAATAGCTTGGGTGGGCTAATGATAATAACGGGGTTTGGAGTCAGCGAGGACTATCCGATTGGCTGGGCGGTCAAGATTCCTATCTGCGAATACATCCCTGTGTTATGGTTACACTACGGCAAAATGGGCATACGTTTGGTCGACTTTAATAACCGTCCGAGGAGCCAGGTTGACCTATCGTGCGCCAACGCAATAATTCCAGGTTATAAAAACAGTAAAAACTGAGGCGTGAGACGCATCTTCTAATGCTCACGTGACCCACCACCCTCACTTTCGATCATTCCTCTCGATTTTTATTCATCATTTTTTTTTCCTGTTGAGCACATGTATAATGCAACTTCGAATTAACATTGAAAAACACCGCCCACTTCATTACCCGGTCTGCTCAGAGTGTATGAGAAATGGTCATGGAAAAAAATCACGTGAAAGAAAAAAAGACAAATGTGAGAGATAAAACGAGAGGAAAACGAAGGAGGATATCCACTGGGCTGATTTCAACCATTCAATTTCACGACCCTCAGTACGATATACGGTCGGGACTAAATCAGGATTATATGGAAAAAGTTGGAGGGGGCATTGTGCCGTAGCCGTCGCACTGTCTGTCCTCCCGTGTGTGAGGATGACAGCGTCTCAAACGTTTTACTGATACTGAATTGACCATCAGGAGCAGTACGACGGGTACGTTTGGAGAGGTTATCTGAGTTGAACAGTTACTGCGATAAATTTTGGCCGTTTGACTCCGAAACTTCACCCCTGGAAGTCGTCATCATTTTTTATGCTTAATTTGACGTTCCAGGGAATGGCTTCAACGTAATATAATTAATCGAAATCTTTGTCATCAGGTATCATGAGTTGCCACAAGTAGCTGTCAAAATTTGTTGCAAACTCATTTCATTCCGCGTTTGACATGCAAAAAAAGCATGAATCGTAAAAAATATTTGCGCGAAATTCATCCAAATAAATCAATCAACAAACGATTCGATTAGTCTCGGATTTCGCAACGGTGATGGGCGCTGTAGCCCATTGTGTCCGACGAATTGCCCATTAGCGCTGGGAGATATCATCTTGCCGGTGATGGTAAGCCGTCCAGCGGAGATTCCTCTGTTTTTTTTTCTCTTGACTTTTTTTTATCGCCGGCCGCCCGGCATTTTGGAAAGGACCTCGTCGAACAGGAGGTTCCCTTCCATTTTCAATATGTACCCGGGGTATATGCGCACTTCTGCAGAACGCAGGGGCGGTCCAGGGGACGTAATAGTAGCGGCAACCGCGGGGGACCATCGGGCACTCACTGTTTCTTAACTTTATTTATGTCCACCTTCTGTCCCCAAGATCCCGAAGATCTCAACGATAAATTTTGGTAATTAAATGCCATGTGGAGGTTTGGCGAGGGGGTCGGAAAAATTTTGAGTTTTCATTTGACAATTTTCGGATATTGCTCTTGGATATTTTTAAAATGAATTGTAACATCATTGTAGCGATATGAATTGTATTTGGCTACTGCACCACCTCGCGGTGGCGTCCCTCAACCAAATGATCATAACCTACCTAGAGGACCGCTGATGATCAACGGATACTAAATGTTTTGAAATATAAAACTTTGAATTAATGAATTAAAATGGAATTAATATGAGATAGACAAATAATCCAAAGTCAACAAAATTTCTAACACCATTCCCACTATCTGCAGGATTATATCTCGTGTCATCTATCGAACCAGTTTCCCAATAAATTGCCACATTCATCCTAAGGATATTTTAAACTCCTTTTAACACCGATTTAAATTAATTAAATTCTAAAAACCGAACGAATGTTAAGAATAACATGAGTTGCGTTGGGCTACGGCGCCACCTCGCGGTGGCGTCCCTGAACCAGAGTCACCATAACCTCCCAAGATGACAGCGGACGCCCAACCGATACCAAATATTTTGAAACCTAAAAATTTAAAGGAGTGAATTAAAATTGAATCAATATGAGAGATAATTAGTCCAAAACCCCCAAAATTTCCAACCCCATTTCCACTATACCCGCCGTCTATCGGAATAGTCCCCCCCCCCCAATAAATTTCCAAATTCATCCCAAGAATATTTTATCCCCTTTTAAACACCGATTTAAATTAATTAAAACCCAGAAATCGAAAACCCAAAGAATGTAAAGAATGACCTAGCAGACAGGCGCCCCATTCCCCCCATTATTATTCCCCATACCCCAATTAGTTATCTCAGTGGGTTATACTATTCTAAATCTTGCTCGTGTCACCATCGCCCTGTGACCCCTCTCTCTTTGTCTCAAGACCCTAGCTGTAAACAACTGCCCCAGGACTGGATAAATAATAACGAGGCCACAAAAGCCCCTGTTGCTATAATTCAATTCACACCTAATAACTGGCATCGCTGAATTTCCATATTACAGGCGGTAATAAAATTAAAAATATTTTCTGCTGACCAATTCCACCGCTTCAGGGGGTCCTCCCAGGATAAACGAGGCACCCCGGCCCTTCTCTCTTGCATTTTTGAGTTTTGAAGGTACAAAAAGTCGAGTCCCTGAACCTTTTGAAAAATTAACAAATTCTCTCATTAATTTTCCCCGCAAGTTTCTTCTTTAATTGATCTATCCGATGATTGACCTTTTACGCAAACACTCGGAGGACTCGACCTCTCAGGGACTCGGGTCTGATTGTTTTAGCGAGTTTAACGATCTCACCGGGAGGATTCACTTGGCCAGCATCAAGACAAGATTAACGATCGTCAGGTAGGTGAACACTTGGAACGAGTCGGAACGTTTAAACAAATGTTTGTTTCTCGGCCGTTGTGACTCGCCCCCTCGCGGTCCTTCTGACACCGTTTGCTGGGTGCATGGGCCCATTATTGTCCGAAGGTGGTTCCAAGCGAAAATGGCTTAACGGCGCCTCGTCTATACATCAAGCACACGCCCTTTCCTGGCACCGGCACTTTCATTCACACAATGACCCGTTAACTTCACCGCCAATTTTCCGTGAAAGCGATTATCGCTGGGTCAAACGTGGAGATTGAATTTCTCGAAAAATATTTTGAATTTTTGTTTTTTATTGCGTTTTTTTGTTTCGGAAGGTGATGGGGTTCACCGACGCACTGTGAATGCTAATGTGTTCAAGACGTTTTGATTTATTTATTACATTTTAATATTGTTTCAATAGTTGGAAAAACATCTGATAAAAATAATTCGAAAATCAAAATTTCTAAATAATTTTCGTGTTACATAAACACTTTGATTTCCGGCGCCATGTTCTCCAATGTGCGAATGTGGAACATAATGAACGAAAAATTTGTTTTTTCAAAATGTCCAGAACAATCGGGACAAAACGGATGTTCCTTTGTTGTTGATGTTTCAATTTTTTCTCTCTTGACAAATGTCTCGGGACATTTCAGAAGATGTTGAATACAATTCGGAGAGGAATTTCCCGCATTACTCATCCCATTTAACCATACAACAACTTCCGGTGCGATTGACCGTGCCAAACCCATTCGAATGCCGCTAAAGGCCATCCCCAAAGAGCCCTACACTTTCCCATTCTTCTCGTGTACATGCACGCCTTCGAAGTATTTTTTCTCTTTTCCCTTCTCTTTCTTTTTCTTTCTGCCGAGCGCCTACTAACCCTAGACGGATGGGCCTAGAACGCGAAAGTAATTGCACACGGCCGACAAAAGGGAGAAGGTCGAGCAATAAATTTGGCGATTCGTCGTCGACTCGTTTTTTTTTTCCAAAAAAATGTCACCGTTGTGAAATTTTTGTAAACAGAAAACGGCTCCCAGGAATCATCGCAAGAAGGAGCAGATGGGGGGACTGGAGACGGAGAGGAGAGTGAAAGTCCTGTGGAGGGAAAACGGGCGGGGACGCAGTGGCACGAGTAGGAAAAGAAAAATTCGTGATTCAAAATGGAGAGGGGGGGCAGGTGGTTCATGTGTGCGCGACATTTCGGTGAAATTTATGTGCCAGTGGCATAAAGGCCACCGCCACAAATATATCTTCTCGTTACTTCAGCAGCCGGAGAATAGGGGAGATGGGGCAAAATGGGATTTTTGGATTGGCAGTGACTATTCACACGCTACCGGGGATGTGCGGGACGTTTTCCCGTGGATTCAAGGTAATTTCTACCGTGGATATGTGGGAGATCGTGGACCCTCAACTTCTACTTCTTAAATTAAATCTAGACAATAAACTAGACACATGGAATCAATTGATAAGTGATGCGCAGACAGTAGACTAGGA